CTAAAGAGCCTTAAACACGTTTCATAATGAACTTTTGCCGACCCCTGGGATGGGCAAAGACTCTTTTCAACATTCCTTTGTAATTTCATGACAGTGTCAACGTTTAGGGTAAGTAGCTTACTGTAGTGTAGAATGGAATACGGTGAGATGAATATGAAGGAATTGATAAGAATCTGTCGAGGCCTATTTTAAGACACTGCCCCAGCATTCGTCTACAGAGATTGAGGGAAACCATGAGTAAGCTTAGCCAGTTTTGAACCAAATGTCTCCTAAATGAAAGTAGCAAATATAGTTGTAAAAATGTTATATCTGCCCAGCCCTGCTAATAGAGACATGAAATGCTCTAATTAGCGCCAGAGCTCAGTAATTTTTCTCAGCAATAACAATGGAAGAGCGAATCCTGTATTAAATACCTTTCCAGTTATACATGACATTGTAATTACTATAACGTGTTTCATGCTATATCAGAACGAAGAGCTTGTAGTGAAACACCGGCGAGACGCAAATAATAGCCGCGATTTGCACGCCAGCTCATTAACCGAATGTTTAAAGAACGAGAGCATATTTAATGCCACTTAGAGCAGACTGCTGACTGTAAATTTGACTGGTTGTTGTGAAAGGTCCGTTATCATCAACAGAAGGTTTCTGGCAGCACTTCCTTAGTTTATTTCTTGCTTCTTCTGTATTACTTTAATCACTTTCACCGAATTTCGCTTCATGACCTATTACAATTCAATATAAATTATAAAATTACAAATTATAAGTATGTAGTAGAACTAGGCCAGATCCCATTTCTATAGATTTCTTCTTCTATCTCCTCAACCTCTCTTAATTTAACATGTTTCTCCAATAAGGATGATGTTATCAGGATTAGGATAAATAATAAAAGTAACTAACGTTTTTGTTGTTCAGCGTCATTGATTTTCGACTTTGTTTCGTTACTGGCATTGCAACAAATTTCATACAGCCTGTAGGCCTGCCGTCATTCGTAAAAAACCGAACACATTTCAGAAAATTATCGGTTAAATGTCCTGTAATAGACTTCACTACAAACTAAACCATAATTAAAAATTGTGTCTATGACACGTGTAGTGACGAAAAAAAAACCTACTCCTCTGAAGCCGAAGCTCATATAAATAATATTTAAGAACTTAGACCGTGCCGCAAAGAAAACACTTCACCATTACAAAGATCAATTTGGTAATGATGTTTAAACTGTTTACAGCGAGAATCGTATGATAAATACAAAATGTAGACTTGGCGATTCTTTAAGCAACTGTGACATATTTACCACTAGGCTTTAAAGGAACAAAACTAAGTTTTTATTAACCATTTCCTAACTTGAGGACTTCATAAATCGGAAGGACCAGTAAAATGTCGGTAAGATTGCTAACTTCCTCGTGTTGATTTTACATTCGTGTATTATAAAACGTTCAAAGCGTGTTTCTTATTACGATCCCCAATTTCTTACACGAGGATCTGTTCTAATGCAGGCAACCCTGTCGATCGGTCTCGATACTGATTAATTCACAAACACGCCATGTTTTCTGGGTTCGATCAACCAATAAACTGCATTAGGCCTATATATACGTTATGAAGAGTGGAGTACACGCAGAACACTGATAAAGTAAGAAGATTAAGAAAAAACATAATAAAGAGCTCCATAATCTGTTCTCCTTACCAACGTATTACATATCCTTTCATGATACCCAAAGGATTATTACAGTGTTTAGAACAGCTTACAGTGGACTCTAACTCTGAACTAGTTGAATTAAGTCAGCGACCACACATTCCATTCAGAAACCAAAATGTAGACGCAAGACTTGTTTTAATCACTTATCGATAATTCCGAAGTCTACAAGTCGTGCAGTTTATTCCTTTGTTCGCGACGTTCTGTTTTTATTTTTAAACATTTCAATGTTGGTATGAACCAACCGCAGTGACCTCTAGCGGCCTTGGGCAGCTCGAACAAGAGACCGCGTGTTCGAATCCAGTTTTCTTTCGTGTTGTGATTTGTGTGCAGAGAATCTGGCGATGGATCAGGCTTCTTTGTTTCCAGAACTGATTCTGATTTGGAAAAGGCCAGAGGGTCTGACCCGTGAAAGACAAAGAAGAATAACCGGTATTTGTTTTGTCACAAGAAAAACGTCATGAGTCTGCTTCAATGCAACGAACCCGAGAGCGAAGGCTGCTGAATTATTTCCATCCACCTCAAGTTCTGCTTCATTCGCTCTTGACTTTCTAGTTTCTTTTGTTTCAATGCTTGTCTCACCTTCCATCCGTAAGCAACAACATGTAACATTAAATACTTCTTCACCTCTCACGGGTTAGGGTCTTTGGCCTTTTCTGAGTCTCAGCACATCTTAAATAATGAGCTGTTTGGACATTCGGCAGCACTCCTGGGAAGGGGATCAGCCCATCTAACTCCTAGCGAGATTAAACACTTTCTGAGATACACACAAGTCAGATTTTGTAACTTATTTTATGCTTTTATTGCCACGAAGTGTATTAAATTAACGCACTGTAGGAAAGCCACGCCTTTCCTTCCTTCCTTCCGTAAGAGATAAACTTTTAAATGTGCTAAACATTTAACGAAATTCCTGACTACGTTTTCAACAACTCTTTTGAATTCGCAAAAAAGTAACGCAAAGGCGAATGAGGTCTGGAAAACAGAGAACGCATTTTTAAACATTCTTATTACAAATATGAATACATATTTTTGCTAGAGTTCTAAAGAATTGATACTGGCATGCAGACGCTATATATTATACTTTAATTTCCCGTCTAATCACGATTACTCGGGCTGGTTGTGGTCTGTGAAATCGCGGGACAAAACTGCGCGTTAAAGTATGCAAACGTCAAGACAGTGTAAGTGGAACGACACACTTTCTGCTTGAAATACAAGTAACGAAAGTGTTGCTAAAGGCAGACCTATTACTAAAACAAATGTAGTTATAATTGTAGGATATGTCTGAAAGTACTGAATTATAATGTATAGAAACTTCAGCGAAGTTATAATTAAAGAAGGGAGTTAATTTGCTGCTTTTTACCGTGCTTTTAGTAGACAGGCCAATAGCCACTACTCCTACAAGCAACTGCATAACAAAACACGGTGTTTCACACCAGGCGTGACTGTGTGACTCTGGAGATCGAACACCGTGACAACAGTACGTGTGGGTTCCATCACTTTTTCTAATCGAATGGTGTAACAGGGTGTTAAAAACGCCTTACGTATTGCCACAGTACTCACCACTTTAACTCTTCACAGCTACATTCTTTGGACCACGTCCATGACAGAAAGGAAGGACATTTAATACACAAATAAGTAACCAATTACCTAAATAACCAACTAGGAAAACAAATATCCATATAATTCGTTTAATAACAAACTGCTTTAGGGTTGAAATAAGATTGTGCGGTACAGTGTTGTCACGTGACAAGAGTTAACCTCAGTTAGTACAATTCTTCAATACTACGCTTTCCTTCGTGTTATTCACAACTTTATTCTTCCGGAAATAATACTTTTGTAAGTTGTTATATTGTTTTAGTAACGTATTACTGTGCAAAGTGTTACAAAATTTCAACGTTTCCTTCAGATCCGCGTCCATTTAAATACCTTTCTTAAGAGCAAACACGCGAACAAACATAAAACCGCCTTCACAAACTAAGGATACGAAAAGTATTGAGGAAGCAACATAATTGTCGCGGTATAGATACGTTATCGCAGGGTGGTGTGCCAGAAATCGCATTGAAGAACTGTGCAAACCACAAGAAATGACATTTAGAAGGGACTGCTTTCTTGTGAGCGCTAATAACATTCAGAGTGCAAGTATAACCCCACTACTTAAACTTCTTAAATACTTGAACAAATTTGTGTCACAGATTTCAACGCTTAATGCTTCAAAATTACCACAAATAGTCCGTATAGGTCACCATATCTGTTTACCAATAGGTAAACTATTTTTTTTTTTTCATTCAACGACGTCTCATTGGCGTCAAAGTTTGCCAACAGGTTAGTGAACAAGTGGTAACTTACTTAGCGTAAGCCTTTTCCAGAAGTCCCGGCCAAAACTGTTCCGAGTTGTGAGCTTGCAAGAATGCCAGTCGTCCGTGAACAGTGGGCAAACGGTCGTCCACGAGGACCTCCACCCATTCGCCACACCACCACAATCGGAAACGGAACACACCGGCGTATTGGTCAGGGGCCGAGAAAGTCTGGTCAGCGGGTACGACTCTATAGAAGAGGCCTTTGCTGAGGTAGAGTACTCCGAGGCAGGACACCAGCCAGCGGTCACCTGAAAAAGTACATATCTGACTGATCCCTCTCTCTTGCAGATGCCATGGTTTTAAAAACTATATCAAGAGAAGTCATAGTACTGTGTAGGCAGGTTATCACGGTAGCCATGCGAGGGTCGGAACGGAAGAAGGTTTCTGTTCGTGTCTGGTAGGAAACACTTGATCATATTATTACGTGCGCTGACACACGTCAGCAATGGCTAACACCACCATAAACAGGTTTAACAAAGTAATTCACAGTATACAAGGAGAAGGACATCATTAATAATAACGGTATACTCCACCAATGTTTTCTTGACAGTCGGTAGAACGCCTCCTTCCGCGACCCTGTCACGGCCGGATAAACGGAGTGGCAATACAACACACAAACATTTTCGAGACATTTCGATTGAAGTCTTTTGCGTTGTTGCGCAGTGGTCTGGTCCGTAGTCTGGCGACCGCCCTGATGATGGAGACAGCAAAAAACCTCTGAAATGCCGGTAAAGTTCTACCAGACAACGCGGCGCAACAGCCCAGAAGACATCTTCATAATTGCAGTCGCGAGAACCTCAAATCTAATTTTCTAGACGTTCGCTGGTTTTGTAACATCCACAAGAACATCTTATATCATCACATTCAGTTGGAGTAGGTAATAGTTGAGCCTCAATGTTTGCATCGCAGTTTCAGTTGGTTGGGGCCGTGTAATGCGCACTGATGGACCAACCGAACTCACGAGCCGATATATCTTATCGTAGAACGGGAATCTGTCCGCGTTCTTCTGTTAATCCATGTGTATAATGTATTGCGTTGTTCTGACCCTCTATCCAAAGGGTCACACTGATTCTTACCTCATGAAGCAACGTCCTTCTTGACAAGATAGAAATCGCTCAGATGGTCACGAATTACCAGAATTTAACGGGAACCCTAAGCCTTATTACCGTATTCACGAAGAGTCTGCAACTGGACATCCTGAGCTGCTTGAATCATCTCATTTATTCCTATCCTTAGGTTCTAACGGCTGAAGTTCAGTGTACAACCTTGGTATTCGGGAATAAGCTGCATTATCCAAAGTTCCGGAAAACATTTCAATTTTCATCTTCGTAGTAAACACGACAACTGCAGTGCTGGAATGTTGTAATGTTTGAAAACTTTCAACATTCGACGCGGATCATTTCCGAAAGCCAAACTATATCGCGCTAATAACTGACTTCGTTGAACAAAATTGAGTAATTAGATTTATGCGAACTTGTTTGCAGTAGTAGGCCTAAGCAGCCTTTTTAGTAAATTGCCATGGCATTTTGTCATATTGTCCGTTTTTATAACCTTGCGGCCTGCGAGTCGATAAAAGGGAGTTGTTGTTACCCCAGGACTGGAAACGGTTGAGTACAGTCACTTTACTGACTGGCCTACATCGGCTCATGTGTTTTCCTTCATTCGGCCTACGTATTTAAGGCAAGGGCGGATGTGATTGTCGCCTTGCCAAGTGTATTAGCCCTACACAATGACAAAAGACTTAAGTAGGAGCGCGAACTGTGCCGCACAGAAATTTACTGTACTCTTGGCAAAGCCCTACCCCTTTAGTATCGATACATTTTCAAGACACGACGCAGTGATGATTACGTATTGAGGACAATGAACAGTGACACACGTAGAAGGTCAGTAGCATGAAGAATACTAATACTATCGGAACGGACGTCATAGGATTTGAAATTCTCAAGCAATTCTATGCTCCAGGGAGATAGTAAAGGCACGATTAACAAGTTTTGTGGAACTTGTGAATGGATCCAACACTTGCTGAGTGTTCTTATGAGACATGAATCGAATGTGTTTGCCAACATGAATTTAGACTTCAAATTCACCAGTCAACCTTGGTCATTTCCACTGATTTGAAAAGCCACCACTCAAAAACATGTGCCAGAACGTAATGTATTATGAAGTGAGCGGTATAAATGACCAGTTAATTGGTGCCATAAAACGTACCGATGTGGAAATACGTGCAGCTTAACGCGGAGAGCAATTCGTTCGTCTCAATTGCAGCAAGCGAGGAATTCAGTCTGCTTTCACCTGAAATGTCCGCGGGCAGGAGGACTTTCACACTGAGCAGTAGTAGCGGAGAAATCGACCACGCCAAGTGTTAGTTCCTTCCCTGCCGCCTGATTCTATGCTCCAGTTTTATTATTATTTTATTATTTATTATTATTTATTTGACTGCAAATGGGTTTTTACCCGGTGGCAGTGGTATCGCGAACTAAAGTTAAATTCTTCAGCTGTTCTTACAGATAAATATAAATTCAAACTCTTTGTCACGTTAGACTGAAATAAGGTAGGATACGAAATCACCAAGCCCTCTGTGTGCGCCCCCTTTCAAATAAAGATCCAATGATAGATTTTTACTAAATATGGTATGAACTTTATACCACTGGAAGCCACCATAACCTCGAAAAATTAAATTTCATATCATCAGAAATAACAGTACGGAGGACGCACGAACTTGGGTGACCGAAGACTCAGAATTAAATGTTGGTATGAAATCCTGTACCCCCTCGGGCCAGTGTGAAAGAAACCATCGACACTTACTGCCATGTCACGTCCTTTCTTAAGATGTTTATTATAATTATTAATTGTATTTCTTTCTCAGGTTAACACGACATTAGAGCGACTATCTACACCAAATCTGCTGGAGTTCTGCCTAAATGTAGTATCGTTTTACTTCCTTCACATTAACCTGACAGCAGAATGTCACCAAGATATATGATGTTTACATTTCAATTTAATATTCTTGGGAAAATACTTAACTATGAGTTTACTTTTACAGGTAATTACCTCAAAGGCTCATTAACATGCAATTTCTAGGTCAGCATCTGGAGGCAGCGTTAAAGCACCGCTCCATGATGAACTGTCAGCTTCACCACGAAAAAACAGTGCCCGATAGTCGTTATGGGCTCCTTAGTTGGTCTGGATGTCGTAGCGACGAAGAAAATTCCTGCCGTCACCCGGAATCGAATACCGGTCATTCAGCTCATAACCAGTTCCTGCACTGACTGATCTATCCTCTGTTCAACTGAAGGACGGACGGGCGTTGAACTACTCTCTCTTTTTAGCCTTACTTTAGTGGTGGCAACCAGTTTATGCAACAGTGAAGGCCAGCGGGGGGGCGCAGTCCACAGGAATTGCCATTAAACAGTGTCGAAAAGCACAAATCCTTAAACGTGTTGTACATGCAAACCCTAAGACGTGTGTGAGTAAGTGTGATAAGGGCAGAAAAGGAAAAAAAATCATCTCCGTTTCAAGAAGCCACCGTGGAAACAAAATACACCTGTGTTACTGAAGCCGTTATTGGAGACGATCGTGATCCATTTCCATCCACCTTCTTCTTTCACAACTCATATCCACAGGATCCCTCTTAATGTTATCCTTCCATATTCTCATAATTCTTCCGAGTATCCTGTTTTTCAAGACATTTTCCAGCCCAAATGTGTTAGCGTTTGTCTCAATTACAGTGTCACTCTTTATTAGACACACAAAATCTTCCCCTTACTTCATCCTTCTTAGATCAACACACACACACACACACACACACACACACACACACATATATATATATATATATATATATATATTCCCGAGTACTTAAACATTTCATAAACTTTAGGTGAGACGATTCATCGCCCTGATGATGGAGGCAGCAAGCATCTCTGAAACATCGGTAAATTTCTACGAGACTACATGGCGCAACATCCCAGAAGACAGTCTATTCAACTATAGTTTCCACACAGTTAAACCACCAAACCACTGCAATGTGTCAGTGAATTATCGAGAATTGTCAGTCTCAGTCATGGCACACGGCGACCAAACTTTAAACCGCAATACCAAAAGGACATACTTCACGTGCAATAGGCCACTACAGGTACAGTATTAAGTGTGTGCGTTACCTAATAAAGAAAGACTGCTCCATGGGGTTGGTTGGTTAGTCGCCAGGTTTCTGAAAGGACATGTCATGTACGATAGCAAGATACTTACCCATTTTCCCCGGTACAATGTCGAACTGAGCTGGGGCATCGTGAACAAAAACTGGTCTTGTGGACAGTTCCTGGAACAACAATATGACTACTAAGTCGTCATTTGCGATAAATTAGCACCGTTCATTTACACCTACGTGCAGGTTCATAATTGCAGCCATCTTAGAATGCAAATAGCTGCGAAGGAAGGCTTACTGTTGTTACCAGGATTTCAAAATGCTGGGGTCTGAAGATTGCCGTCTTCTGGGTTGTTGCGCCTTGTAGTCTGGTAAATAATCGCCCTGGTGATGGAGGCAGCATGGACCTCTGAAACGTTGGCGGACATCTACCAGACTACAAGGTGCAACACCCCAGAGGACAGCAATCTTCAAACTCACCGCCGAGAAAACCCCAAATCCTACATGCTGGGGTCTGCGTTGTGTCAAGCTTCATAAAGGAAATATGCTGGAAGAAACCTAGCAGCTTAATACATTATTACACATATGATAAGATTCTAGCTGTGAACAACCGTGGTGTCTTATATCAGAGTACATCTCTCTGGCCAGCTGGTTGCAATTCAGGTCCGGCAGACAAACAGAGCAACGGCAGTTTTAAGATGGAAACAGCAAACCACTGAAACCAGATTTTACGTATTTGTACACGAAACCATTTTGTGCCTGGGTCTTCATGAGAAGCAGGTCACCGCCACCAAGGTAATGGAAGCAGCTTCTGAGAAGAGACGTCCAAGCAACGAACTGGTACAAGTAACATGGCTTTACGAGGAGTTCATATGAAGACACACGTGGCCACCAGTTTCGCCTACAGTTTGTACTAGTGTGTTGAGCAGAACATAGAAAGTCCGCATTCACGACAAATACAAGGGAAAACATGGAATAACTTTCTAAACAGCTGTTACGCCGAAGTTATTTGGCATCTATTACAACCGATCATAGGACAATAGAAATAAGGTTACAACAGATTAGAGAATAAATCAATAGATGTTTCTCACAATACGGCATCGACAAAACAGTTCAGGCAACACATAAAAATCTGAAATTTATAAATATTTATAGGTGTCCAAAACTAGGCAGCAGAAAATTCCTAGAATTTCCATTCGGGTCTGAGTCTACAAAATATCATTGGAGACCGCACCATATTTGTTTCTACTTGCCAACTCACAGTCACCAAAATCAGATTGTAAACTTACGAATTTCTAACGTGAGAGCATTAGCGCCATTCAGTCGGGAAGTTTTCTTTTGCGATATATCTTTGCCAAGATAAACCACGAAGAAACTTCTGTGAGGACAGCCGATTGCAGGGCCGATATTCGAAGCGCGTACGCCTGAATACAAGTCTAAACAACAGATTCTCAAAAAGAGGCCCATGTGAACTTCTCTTTGTATCGCCCTGTATAAATAAAATACAGTTACTGCCTAAATTAAACAGGCCTTATTTAATTTTACACAAATAACTAATACAAACACAAACCAATTTGTCACAGGAATTCGTTAAGTAATATGTGAACCTGTTTACGACAGTAAATTAGAACCATTTTAAATAAATTGCCAAGAAATGCCAATAAATTCCCGTCATTCGAAACACCGCGGCCCGCGAGTTCATAAGTAAGAGTGGATGAGGCTCCAGGTCTTAAAGGTCGATGACCCCTGGTCTATACCCTTACCGCTATTTAATTATAAATGACAGTAACTTGAGCTGGGAAATATCTTTTGGAACACTGTATTCAGAACTCGAACACGTTTAAGGCCATGGTAGCTGTTTCAGCAGACGCCAAGTCAGGTGAAACAAAGGCACGACGAAGTCCACTCGGCCCAAGAAGAAACAACAGTTGACCGAGCATGTGTTGAATACCTCAGCAAGATAAGAGAAACTTGTCCTCGTTTCTGATTCCAAGTGACCTGATTAACGAACGACTCTTTAGCACCTGTTAAGGATGGCTTGGCTCCAAGGCAATGTAGGCCTACACGTGACAACTGCAGTGACAGGCATAATACAATACGAACAAACCTGTCAGGTCAGTGCACGATTGCGCCACAAAATAACCTGGGCAGCATGTTTAATGTTCACTGTGCCTCTCTCTGCCAGAATGTCATTATCCGGAATCATGTGGAATTCATGCCATTCGTTCAAGTCTCTCCTGATTCTAGATGGCTTTAACAGTCAAATCAGGATTGAGCAGAAATTTTGCAGAGACAGTGGACCGGTCACTCACTGCTCACAAATGTACAATTGAAGACTATAAAAATAACTTCTGAAAAGGAGGCGGCGAGGACCCACAACTGGGCTATAGAACCGAAGAAGATGAATTCTGAAGAATATGGACATAGCAGGAAGGAAGCGATAGGTGTCCTGTTACCAAGGCAACAACTTAAAACATTTCAGACAAACAAATACAAGCAAGTATAAAAGACTATACACAAATAAATGGAAGCAATCGACCCATAGGAACGAAATGCAGTGAAAGCAGTTATGTAAATAGAACAGAAACGAGATAAAGAGACTAGGATATACAAGAAGAACACAACCCAGAAGACCAACACCGACACATAAAGAAATTTACTTGCAGCATTTCCTCACAGTGTTTCTGCGTCCAGTCAAGAAATTACGCCACTGGCGGTCTGGACCAGATTCCGACCTTGGTCCTACCTCTCTGTGACGTTTTGACTACGGAACATAAATTAGTTATTCCGATTCTATTGTCGGTCAGCAAGGTCACAGAACACCTGCCATTTCTTATAGCACATTCGCTAAAAACGATGGACTGAAGTGGTGCACCTGTTTTTTGGCTTCAATTATCTAATTTTATTCATAAAAAGCCAAGTGACACACATAAGAAAACTGATTTGTTGATACACTGATTACTCACGGCTGTTTATGGATACATCACACATTCAAACTAGAACTGAAAGCAAAGCTGTACGCCATGAAGGCGTTTGTTGGGAAAAAAATGTATGCTTAGGCACTAGATGGTGGTGAGTGGTCAGCGTTATTTCCCGGCTACGTTTTACCCCGGGCGAAAGAACCCCCTGCCCATTAGATAGGCAGGTTTGTGCGTCCCAGTGCCGGTTAAGGACGCAGAGGCTAGAATAAAAGTCATCTGTCCCCACCAGGGATCGAACCCCGATCATCCAGACCGTAGTTAGATACAGAAAAGACTTGGCTATCCAGACTTCAATCTGAACTAGGACACTCAACTTCACTCATCCGCTTGGAAAACATCTGTAAGAACAATTTGAAGGCGACAGGATGATAACACAGAGATTAATTTTAGAGATGTGAGCCTGAAAAGTGGATGAACTGGCTTAGGTCGCGTTCTGTGGTGGGCTTTAGTATTCGCTGTGTAGAAACAGTGTATTAGTTTTCTTGAAATGTAAGTTACATTGGTAGAAGAGAAACGTGGACTGAAGGCCAAGCCCGCGAAGAGATGTAGGCAGCAAAACAACTTGCTAGAGCCCCGCCCAGTGTGATAAGAAGAGAAGGTCACACCGTAATGGCACCATGGGGAAAGAATACCAGAAGAATTTACTAAAGACACAATCCGTAAACTAGCAGAGAATACAGAGAATGCAAGATTTTCGAAACCAGAAACCAGAAGAGAATTCCGAAGTCATGTGTCTGAAAATGTAACAGAAAAATAAAACAAACTAATGAGTCATTGGAGAAACAAGCCAAAATAAAACGCCGAGGACGTAAGCTTTAAGGACAAAAGAAAATTTAAAGTTATTCAACTATAGTTTCCACACAGTTAAACCACCAAACCACTGCAATGTGTCAGTGAATTATCGAGAATTGTCAGTCTCAGTCATGGCACACGGCGACCAAACTTTAAACCGCAATACCAAAAGGACATACTTCACGTGCAATAGGCCACTACAGGTACAGTATTAAGTGTGTGCGTTACCTAATAAAGAAAGACTGCTCCATGGGGTTGGTTGGTTAGTCGCCAGGTTTCTGAAAGGACATGTCATGTACGATAGCAAGATACTTACCCATTTTCCCCGGTACAATGTCGAACTGAGCTGGGGCATCGTGAACAAAAACTGGTCTTGTGGACAGTTCCTGGAACAACAATATGACTACTAAGTCGTCATTTGCGATAAATTAGCACCGTTCATTTACACCTACGTGCAGGTTCATAATTGCAGCCATCTTAGAATGCAAATAGCTGCGAAGGAAGGCTTACTGTTGTTACCAGGATTTCAAAATGCTGGGGTCTGAAGATTGCCGTCTTCTGGGTTGTTGCGCCTTGTAGTCTGGTAAATAATCGCCCTGGTGATGGAGGCAGCATGGACCTCTGAAACGTTGGCGGACATCTACCAGACTACAAGGTGCAACACCCCAGAGGACAGCAATCTTCAAACTCACCGCCGAGAAAACCCCAAATCCTACATGCTGGGGTCTGCGTTGTGTCAAGCTTCATAAAGGAAATATGCTGGAAGAAACCTAGCAGCTTAATACATTATTACACATATGATAAGATTCTAGCTGTGAACAACCGTGGTGTCTTATATCAGAGTACATCTCTCTGGCCAGCTGGTTGCAATTCAGGTCCGGCAGACAAACAGAGCAACGGCAGTTTTAAGATGGAAACAGCAAACCACTGAAACCAGATTTTACGTATTTGTACACGAAACCATTTTGTGCCTGGGTCTTCATGAGAAGCAGGTCACCGCCACCAAGGTAATGGAAGCAGCTTCTGAGAAGAGACGTCCAAGCAACGAACTGGTACAAGTAACATGGCTTTACGAGGAGTTCATATGAAGACACACGTGGCCACCAGTTTCGCCTACAGTTTGTACTAGTGTGTTGAGCAGAACATAGAAAGTCCGCATTCACGACAAATACAAGGGAAAACATGGAATAACTTTCTAAACAGCTGTTACGCCGAAGTTATTTGGCATCTATTACAACCGATCATAGGGCAATAGAAATAAGGTTACAACAGATTAGAGAATAAATCAATAGATGTTTCTCACAATACGGCATCGACAAAACAGTTCAGGCAACACATAAAAATCTGAAATTTATAAATATTTATAGGTGTCCAAAACTAGGCAGCAGAAAATTCCTAGAATTTCCATTCGGGTCTGAGTCTACAAAATATCATTGGAGACCGCACCATATTTGTTTCTACTTGCCAACTCACAGTCACCAAAATCAGATTGTAAACTTACGAATTTCTAACGTGAGAGCATTAGCGCCATTCAGTCGGGAAGTTTTCTTTTGCGATATATCTTTGCCAAGATAAACCACGAAGAAACTTCTGTGAGGACAGCCGATTGCAGGGCCGATATTCGAAGCGCGTACGCCTGAATACAAGTCTAAACAACAGATTCTCAAAAAGAGGCCCATGTGAACTTCTCTTTGTATCGCCCTGTATAAATAAAATACAGTTACTGCCTAAATTAAACAGGCCTTATTTAATTTTACACAAATAACTAATACAAACACAAACCAATTTGTCACAGGAATTCGTTAAGTAATATGTGAACCTGTTTACGACAGTAAATTAGAACCATTTTAAATAAATTGCCAAGAAATGCCAATAAATTCCCGTCATTCGAAACACCGCGGCCCGCGAGTTCATAAGTAAGAGTGGATGAGGCTCCAGGTCTTAAAGGTCGATGACCCCTGGTCTATACCCTTACCGCTATTTAATTATAAATGACAGTAACTTGAGCTGGGAAATATCTTTTGGAACACTGTATTCAGAACTCGAACACGTTTAAGGCCATGGTAGCTGTTTCAGCAGACGCCAAGTCAGGTAAAACAAAGGCACGACGAAGTCCACTCGGCCCAAGAAGAAACAACAGTTGACCGAGCATGTGTTGAATACCTCAGCAAGATAAGAGAAACTTGTCCTCGTTTCTGATTCCAAGTGACCTGATTAACGAACGACTCTTTAGCACCTGTTAAGGATGGCTTGGCTCCAAGGCAATGTAGGCCTACACGTGACAACTGCAGTGACAGGCATAATACAATACGAACAAACCTGTCAGGTCAGTGCACGATTGCGCCACAAAATAACCTGGGCAGCATGTTTAATGTTCACTGTGCCTCTCTCTGCCAGAATGTCATTATCCGGAATCATGTGGAATTCATGCCATTCGTTCAAGTCTCTCCTGATTCTAGATGGCTTTAACAGTCAAATCAGGATTGAGCAGAAATTTTGCAGAGACAGTGGACCGGTCACTCACTGCTCACAAATGTACAATTGAAGACTATAAAAATAACTTCTGAAAAGGAGGCGGCGAGGACCCACAACTGGGCTATAGAACCGAAGAAGATGAATTCTGAAGAATATGGACATAGCAGGAAGGAAGCGATAGGTGTCCTGTTACCAAGGCAACAACTTAAAACATTTCAGACAAACAAATACAAGCAAGTATAAAAGACTATACACAAATAAATGGAAGCAATCGACCCATAGGAACGAAATGCAGTGAAAGCAGTTATGTAAATAGAACAGAAACGAGATAAAGAGACTAGGATATACAAGAAGAACACAACCCAGAAGACCAACACCGACACATAAAGAAATTTACTTGCAGCATTTCCTCACAGTGTTTCTGCGTCCAGTCAAGAAATTACGCCACTGGCGGTCTGGACCAGATTCCGACCTTGGTCCTACCTCTCTGTGACGTTTTGACTACGGAACATAAATTAGTTATTCCGATTCTATTGTCGGTCAGCAAGGTCACAGAACACCTGCCATTTCTTATAGCACATTCGCTAAAAACGATGGACTGAAGTGGTGCACCTGTTTTTTGGCTTCAATTATCTAATTTTATTCATAAAAAGCCAAGTGACACACATAAGAAAACTGATTTGTTGATACACTGATTACTCACGGCTGTTTATGGATACATCACACATTCAAACTAGAACTGAAAGCAAAGCTGTACGCCATGAAGGCGTTTGTTGGGAAAAAAATGTATGCTTAGGCACTAGATGGTGGTGAGTGGTCAGCGTTATTTCCCGGCTACGTTTTACCCCGGGCGAAAGAACCCCCTGCCCATTAGATAGGCAGGTTTGTGCGTCCCAGTGCCGGTTAAGGACGCAGAGGCTAGAATAAAAGTCATCTGTCCCCACCAGGGATCGAACCCCGATCATCCAGACCGTAGTTAGATACAGAAAAGACTTGGCTATCCAGACTTCAATCTGAACTAGGACACTCAACTTCACTCATCCGCTTGGAAAACATCTGTAAGAACAATTTGAAGGCGACAGGATGATAACACAGAGATTAATTTTAGAGATGTGAGCCTGAAAAGTGGATGAACTGGCTTAGGTCGCGTTCTGTGGTGGGCTTTAGTATTCGCTGTGTAGAAACAGTGTATTAGTTTTCTTGAAATGTAAGTTACATTGGTAGAAGAGAAACGTGGACTGAAGGCCAAGCCCGCGAAGAGATGTAGGCAGCAAAACAACTTGCTAGAGCCCCGCCCAGTGTGATAAGAAGAGAAGGTCACACCGTAATGGCACCATGGGGAAAGAATACCAGAAGAATTTACTAAAGACACAATCCGTAAACTAGCAGAGAATACAGAGAATGCAAGATTTTCGAAACCAGAAACCAGAAGAGAATTCCGAAGTCATGTGTCTGAAAATGTAACAGAAAAATAAAACAAACTAATGAGTCATTGGAGAAACAAGCCAAAATAAAACGCCGAGGACGTAAGCTTTAAGGACAAAAGAAAATTTAAAGTTATTTGTTGTCAGGACTTTTTCCATAGTCTGTTTTTAAAATTCACGACGTTTCGGAGGATAGTTCTGTCTCCAGGTGAGAGGTACCTACTCCTATTTTATCATTTAAGTATTATAATCCACTGACAGAACGCGTATTTGGGTGGACAAGTTGAAATAATTGCACGATTTATATTGTCCAGTGACAGAGACTAGCTCTTTCTAAGGGACCCAACAGAGTAGGTACCTCTCACCTGAAGACGGAGGCAGAACCAGCCTCCGAAACGTCGTGAATTTTAAAAACAGACGATGGAAAAAGTCCTGACAACAAATAACTTTAAGTGTAAACTACCGTCGTCAAAACCCTTTAGAATTAAACAGAATAAAATATTGTTGGCGAGATTTTTTGAGAAAATACTAAAAAGTGAGCCCTTTCAGAAACAAGTAAGAACATTCGTTCTTTCGAAAAGAAAATGTACTTTCTGGCCTATCTTCCTTATTTATTCGTGAAATATATGCTTATATTATAACGCCCTTGTATAGTTCCGTGTGCCTAACCTCCTTTAACAACTTCTTATTAATCTACGAATTTCACGAAATATGGTATGAACTTTATGCCATTAGAGGTAACCTCATCTTTATTCTCTTCAACTTCCTACCGTAAATAAGACTGACATGGTGACCGTAATTCTGCACGACAATAAACAAAGTATATATATATTAGTTAATTAGAAACATGGCGACGGGATGACACCCTGAGGTTACATCTAAAAAATATGAAGTAGTCGAATCTGTTCTAGACCATATTGTATTTACATTGACCTTCGATCACATGACGAAAACTGCGAACAGCTAGTTTCAAAAGAGCAGTGAATGTGACCATCGATGTGTACCTACAGCTGGTACCTAATATGGGAACATCAATTCTCATGCATAATACATGAGTGGCAGAACTCGAGTGGGTGACGACTACAAATTAAAGTCAGTTGGACGTTTAACCCTTTGAAGCCGAAGCTAGTCAACACAATATTTAAGAATCCAGTACGTACCGTAAAGAAAATATTACCCTTCACCATTACAAAGATAAATTAAGTAATGTTATTTAGGGATATAATCGCTGTTCTGAGAATCATACAAAATACACCATCTCCATTAAAGATTAGCTCTGGTTTATATCTGAAATAATTAAACGGTCATGTTATAAAAACCGGGTGGCTAGCACTTCTATCAGGAGATCTCGTGTTCGAATATCGGTCTGGAGACCAGTTACTCTGAATAAGGTATTTCGTTGTTTCCTCCAGTTCGCCCTAGAAGACTCTAGAACAGAACCTTAACACTACCGCTTACCTCAATTCGAAAATCACTATCAACCCATCATTTGATGCTATATGCTAGTCCATTTCGGGAAAACGGCTACAATATGCGCAAACCTCTTCTCACTAAAGCTGGTATTTCAGTATTTGTCAGTGGTGAAAGTATCAAGACGGTGATTCGGATGACCTAAGAATTAGGTGAGTATTGAATGTTAGAAAAGCACTGCGTTAAATGACTGACTGCCCATTCATCTTGGGCCTACATACCAAACTTGACCTAAGAACTTAACCCAGATTTTTTTAAACAGTATAACCCGCAGCTCGTGACAGAACTGACAACAATGTTTTCATCATGATGCAGTTTGTATTCTGGTCCACATACTTGAAAATGAGGCCCGGGGGGGGGGGCCTTCAGGAGATTGTCTTTGAGAGCTCTCCTTTACACTCTCTTCCACATTGGGGCATTAGGCTGTGCTCGTGACAATTTTACAGGAAACAGTTTCTAACCTCATTCATTGAAATGACCTTCGGTTGGTGTCAAGATACGAGTATTGACCCTTTGAAGCACGAATTCAAAAGAGAGATAATTAAGATGGATAGTAGAATAGTAAAAGTAAGAAAAAAACGAATTCATGAGGAAGAACTGGCATACAGTATTCCTACGGTCAGAAACAGCATTTATTGCGAGAAAGATCCCTGGCAATGGCCGCCGGTAAGGTAAGAACTAGTAAAGATGTACGGTGATAAGCACTAAAAGTATGGAACAGAGACCGCGGAATTTAATTTATCAATGTCTATTGAAATGATAATTTGGGAAGTAGCACGGGGGTAAATTCGATTATTTTAAATTGGCAGGGGAAAAACTTGAAATAACAACTTGGAAGTTGGGAAGCATCTCAGCATTTCCTTAAAGACAAGTAGAAATATAATAATCTCCAAAAGCTGTCCTAACGTGTGCAAGCTCGCCTAAATAATGCTTAATTTAGTTCCTACCTCACAGAAAACACAACACATTCATTACATAGACAAACTGGGAAATGTCGTTTATGAAAATAATCGGTATTTTTCTGAGAATCGTACGAAATCCATAAATGCACTATGAGGGTAAAATGCACTACGCCCTAAACGGCCAAAGCTCTAGAAAACCCTGTTAGTGACTAGCGACGGGCTGGAATACCGAGGTTCGATTCTCCACAGAAACAGCTGTTTTTCACATCTCCACTTTGACCAGAGCAGCTCTGCAGCCCACCAACTCTCATGTCGAACGTGTGTCCGGTGGTATCGTGGCCGAAGCGTGTAGCTGACCACCTCCACTGCCTACTAGAATTGAGTAGATACAGCGTCTTAAATCATTGATAGAAAAACAACAACATGAAGGTTGTGTTAGATGTACAGTAATATACTGGTTTGATGGCATACTAAAACCATCAACTGTGCAATTGTTTAAGTATACTTGGAGGATAGGAAGGAGGCACAACCAACCACATTCCAGGGAGTTGTAGAATCTGTGTCACTCAGTGAACAAACTGACAGACAAGCAAACAGACAGAGAAGCAAAGGCGCTACATTTTACCTCTACACATTGTACCTGACATACAGCGAGTATTTCATGGCACACAACCAATCACAGTCATCCTCCCGGGAACATCACGAACCCGTGAGCACGCTAACTTGTCTGCAGAGCGTAATACGTCCATTGCCCCAAACAGTTTGGCATAAACCCCTTCGTCAACACCCGACACCGCCGCGGTGAGAAGAAATGCGACGCATTGCTAAGGACGTAAATCGAGTACACGTGTACGGAAACGCGTATCTAGATGTACCTGTAAAAGAAACTGGCAATTGGATTATATGGCTGTTTGCGGTGTGGTCTTAAAGGATCGACGCTTCCTTCATGCCAAGAGAACTCAACATTTACCACGGCTTTGGCATTCCACCCACGTACAAAGTCCTTGTGCACAGGAAACAGTGTACACGTGAGGAGGAGAAGAAGATATTAAGTATCATACGTTTAACTCCCACCTCCCGTCAAAGTGATCCTTTCTGCACAACGTATTCAGAAAGTAAAGTTTTCCAGACGAAGGGACAAACAAAAGAGTTGACAGCGAATTTAAAATGTGAACTTTTAATGAAGAGTTCATTCAGTACGGGCTACCGGGTGTCGCTCCTGGGGCCCAATATCCAGCGGATACAAACAGCTCCTCCCTGTTGGGAAAACGATCGGGACATATGGATAACCACCCACCGAGATTAAGAATTTATGGAGCTTTACCTTGACTCCCCTACAACAGGAGGATTAAGATGATTCCTTAATAACGCCCAGTGCTTCATAATTTGTACTCTTCCACACCAATTCATGTTAGGGAGACCAAATTAAAAGTGAAATTAGATGAGCGGAACATGTAGCACGCATATTGGAGATAGGCACTGTATACAGAATTTTGCTCCGAAAACCTGAGTGGATACGACTACTTGGAAGGCCTACGAGCAGCTTACACGAAAGAATAATATTAAAATGCATCTTAAAGGAATAGGGTACGGACAGGATTCAACTGGCTCAGTGTAAAGCCCAGTTGCGGCTTTTACAAAGACGGTAATGGACGTACATTTTCCACAAAAAGCGGTTAACTTACTGACTGGTTGAACGACCATCAGTCCCTGTAGAAGGACTACGTTCCACCGAGGTGATTCAACACGCGAATGTTAAAGTGGGGATATTTCTAAAGAAGCTCGTTCACGACCACAGTCGACATAATTACAAATGTAACAGCAGTGCGACAAAACACCGTGAATTACATTTGCGTCACAACATAAGAACCGTTACAGAAAACAGTTTCTATAATTATTATAATTATATAACAATTGAATAGCAACTTTACGTGAAATATTTTATGTTCCCTGTAACAAAACAGGTTCAGAGAGACCGAACTGATTTTGGAATTCGCTGCTGATTTCATAACTACAATTTATTAAACTGTTGTAATCAAAAGCATTACATGAAAGTCGGTGTTGCCAACAGATTCTCAAGGCGTGTAAAAATGTTACATAAGATTAGTTGCCAATATAAGAAAAATATACCGTAATTTTGCAGTCTTACAAAAACTCCTGCGGTTCTAATCTGGGAACAATAAAAGGCCAGAATGAATTGAAGCGAGTCTAGAGAGAGAGAGAGAGTGAGCACATAGTAAAAGCGTTCTCAACACTGAATACTAGCCACCTAGAAGCTGCCTTATTGCATTGTTAACTGCACAAAATGTGATTCTTTCTTCAATGGTGTTTAACTGATGAAAATCATTTACTGAGACTTAGTCCTTAAGTTATTCAACAAATCGAAATTTAATGTTACTTTCAGATCAATGTCTTTAAGTAAGCCTATATACAGGCGTAACTTACCCGTGTTCAAGCAAGTATGAGTAACTGATAACTATAATCATTTTTAAACTATGGTGTTTTAGCGACGTTTTCAGACCTGATGTAATTTCGAAATAATCGCACGAGGCCCGCATGTAAAAATGGTTGCCTAACCAGTCTTTACAAATGGTGAAAACATCAGTGAGGAGGATAGCCGATGCCCTTCTGGGAAATGAACAGGTCATCTCCAGACATGGAAGTAAGAACTTTCGAAAACCTGGAGTAATTGCAATGTGTCATTTACGAGCAATGGAATCACTGGTGCAAAGCGAAGTTCTGTGGCATGCAATTGTGTGCGTGTCCTGATGCTACACGGTCGTGGTGGTAACGGTGTGCTGAAGATGTGGGTCTTCTGGTTGCGAGCAAAAGAGATCGAGGAACCACGGACCGTTAGGAACAACTGCGGTCTGGCAGGGCGCGTAATGTGGGCACAGTGACACAACACTCAGCAAGTGTTACTGCCGACTCCAGACAATGTTCGTTTCAAATATGTGACAAATATTAGAACTGTAGGCTATTTGTCATTCTGCATCATCCGCGATGTGTGATTTATGTTGTAAAGTATTAGACCTTATTCTTTTAAAACGTATGTACTTTTGTGTACATGCCATGATGAAGGCATAGACAAAGTTCTGCTTGCGCTTATGCATAAACCATGAGGGCGTAGGGAAGGAGAAGTAAAGCTCCACGTATTCTTAACCTCGGTACGAGACACAGATAACTGACCAGCATCACGCTCCGATGAGCCGAAAATGCCCACACCTGGACCTCCTTCTCTGTTTAAATATTACCCGATTTTCAAATTTCTAGTTGCAGCAAGGTTTGCAGACGACTGCAATGACGTCAGATGGACATAGAAGCAAAGGAATCGAGTTCAAAGACACGCGTCATAACGTGCGGCCATTCAGTGTCGGGTACGTTAAAAGAGTCTTCGATTAAATCTCACGTACACCTCTGAGGTTCTCTTTAGAAACGCAAGCCAACCCTCATGATTGAGGCAGAGGCGTTCTCCGAAGCACACAAAGCTACCCACAGCGTCCGTTCTTCGTCATAGTTTTCTTAAATCAAACTATATTGAAATAAATTGCTCATTTATTATAACTGTCAAACAACAATCTATGGTTGACACTTATTACTCTTTTACGTTATGAAGTTGGTTATGGTCGCCTAGCGACCAGACCAGACCTTGAGACAAAGGCACGGAGAAAACTACAAAAGCGTTTTATTTTCATGAAATATGCTTTTCTAACCCGACCATGCTCGAGATAACCCTGCAGTCATTGCGAACAGCAATCGCCTTACAACCGATTTATTTCTTACCTTAGGACGTTTCCATACAAACTGAAATGGTGGCGTCTGGTGATAGAAAACTGAAGCTTGGGTGGCGGGAAACTCAGGGTCTTCCCATAGTTCCCCGCGCTTCAAACAAGAGCGCCTGATGCGCTCGTAGTCCGTCATGGGGTACACCTGTAGAACAAATACACACTATAGAAACACTTGCACCAACAGCTTAGTCTATACACTCTCTTGGGTCACCTGCTACGGGAAAAAGTCTCTAGGGTTTACTGCAACAGAAATACTTAACAGCGAAATTTGCAAGAGAAAAACACACAAGTATACAGAACAAACGTTATCGGTCTGAGCTATTGAAACTGCAGTGGAGAGACAGGATTTAAAGCCAATAATGCATACATTCAGTCAGAAGTAGTAAAGATGGAAGGGGCGACCACGGTTTGCTCCTGTATTAATTAATGTTCCCTGCGGCACAAGTGTCGCTCCCGACCCACAAGTTCGCACAAACAAAAAAATGCTACCCACCCGGCCTTCTTTCAGATGGATGGACTACTGTGTGCCTTATCTCACCGTAAAATGACCGAAGTGTGAAGCTAACCATTCGCATCATTTAGTGCCGAATCTAGAAATTTGTGGAATTTACCTCAACTGCACTTCTTCATGGCGTGGTGCCCAGTCACGGAAACAACTATAACAGTTCTCAAAAAGCCCCACCGAAAGACTAACACGGCGTTTCGCTAATTGTTTTCCGCGTTATGAGATGGATTCCGCGAGAAACGTTAAATGTGACTTTCCCTCCAAGTTACCAAAATATTTCTTAAAACAGAAACAGTAGCTGAAATTGTCTAACTTAGGTTGCATAATTTGAATCTACAATACATTTTGAGCAAATTCAAGTTCAGTTAAATATGTATTTGAATTAAACACTTTCTCCTTCGAATATTTGTTCCAACAGTTGATAAGCAGTTTTATCTAGATGCCCAACGTCACTACAAACATTAATCACATTTCAAAAGAACTGAAGCAAAATCTCTCTTTTCGATTAAAACGTAACACATGCATTTAAAATTATTAACTTTCATTATTTCTTACGTTCTGCAAGTTTTGTTTTGAAACACATTCATAAGGAGTGAAATTAGATCTTCCTTTCATTATTTAATTTATGCAGGTACGTGCTACAAAATCCTCTGACGTTCTGTTTCTGACTTCTCAACGCCGTAAGAATATGTTTAACCATTTCTGGTCTGTTTACTTGTAAAAGGACTTTTATTCACGACTCATGTCCAATCAGACTGTTCATACGACCAGAAACGGTTAAGGGACACACTCACAGCTCAGAAACCCGCAAGCGATTCATCACTAAGACATTCAGTTAAACAGGAGGAACTGTGAACTTGAACTTGAGCCGAGTCTAAAATGATGGACTGTGAAGTTTTCTTCCGTACAGAAGGCATGTGCATCCTGCTAAGTATGCAACTAGTCACGCGGGCGAGGTGCAGTGGGTGTTCACCAAGCGACCTTGAGACAGGGGTCAATGGATGTAGCAGCTATCAGCGAGAGGGCAGTGCACAATGGGTGAACCAATGTTTTCACTGTTATCCAACAAAATATTTTATTGGGACTACAAGAACTGCATCTCTCTCAACCAAAAACATTGGTTCCCTCTTACAAGAATACAAACAGGCTTCCAGTATGATGTATGGGATTATACACAACTCATTGCCTCGATGTTCACTTATTACAAATAAGAGTTTTACCATATTGCTGCAAAGTTAAATTGACCGCTGATATCACTTTATATGGAGTCATAAATCACTTTTCCTTGTACAATACTTCGTTAAATATTCACCATGTCCGTAAATGTTTTAAATAAAATGTGCAGTTCTTCACGACTTTCATATGTTGCGCTATACACGTCTTTTTTTAAATGCGACTGTTTTGAGGAAATTACTAAGATCCTATTTAAACGTCCTGTGGATCTTAAGAGCATGAATAAAAGATGTTAGTGAACAGGGTACTGAAAAGAATACATTGACCTGTCGGGGAGAAGTAAGAGTGGAGCATATAATATACTGAGGAGCTTAATCATTTATACCATTTATTTATTACTACAGTGACCGAACCAAGGAGGAGCATACCCTTACGCGGCATGGAGGAAATAAGACGTACAGAAACTTTTAGTAGAAATACTTTAAAAGAAGATATATATAATAATAATATTAAAGTGGATATTAAATAGATGTGAGTAGTGGATATGAATAAAGTGGCTGAAGATAGAGTCCATTGGTGGGCTCTTGTCAATCCGGCAGTGAACCTTAGGGTTAAATAAAAGGCAAGGAATTTTGTTGGCCAGCTAGGCGGCTATAACATTTCCAAGCCTAAATTTAATCGACATTCATTCAATAGTTTCAAAGATGAAACATGCGACCAAAGAGACGGATACGACCTCCGCATTGTACGTTCCACGCGCGTAAAGAACAGATGTTAATACAAAACCCACTTAGTAACTATCGTGCTACTCTTTTAACAAATCTCTTCCGTTCTGCCTATGAAATAACACCACAAATTATAGGATATATTTTTTTCTGTGTATAATTCAATTTATTTATAGTTCACAATTATAATAGCTCATACTTTAATTGAGCCGTTTGTCAGTAATACTTACGTTTTTATTTTGCTAACGTCCGATGCACTGTAATCCTGTACTGAAATGTTCTTTTATTAAACATGAAAATTCACTTATTACAACTTCAAACCCAAATTATGTCCAGTAGCTTTCACTTGAGTAACAATTTGTTAGTTCGTTTTATTTTAAAAATCATCACTTCACGTCACACACACGCACCAATGAATGGTTATGTTTACACATTACTGACAATCGTCGCACCTTACCAGCTTGTATTTCCAGCTGTTGCATGCCCCACACTGCTCCAATCTATAACACGCATTGAAGCCTCCTCCACAAGTACAACCAAAGTGTTGCCATCTAGCGGAAAAGTGGTGAAAAGGACTCCCCCCCCCTTATGATGACTAACATCCCGACTGACAACTGTTACAAAAATAATAAACTCGTGTGAGGAATGTTAAGTTGCTAGTCCTTAGTTAGCTTTTTGGTATGGGTTGACAGGTAAGGAAGGCATTACAAGAGTTTCATTTTCGTGTATACCATCAGTGTACTGACAGCAAAAAGACACCTGGGTCTGATAAGTTCAGCAATTTTATTTTCAGAATGCAGTACAGCTCAATGTTGCAATTTTAAGAGCAAGTAAACACTAAGTCTTGTGTACAACTAGGTAGGACATTCTCACTACAAGAAAATCAGGAGAGCCTATGGGGAAACAGTCATAGGCCAAGCTGCATTATGTAAATGGTTTAAGCATTTCAAGGAGAAATGACAAATTGCTCGAGGATGACACACAGAAGAGTAGCTCATAATGAGATCAATGACATACCCCCATCCATGCAACCACATGGGGAATTCCCTGTGTGATAACACCCGGCCAAATAGGTGTCAGACACGCACTCAAGTCACTGCTTCCACAACTACTTATGTTCCTTGTGAAATTACATTCACAAATTGAACATCTAGAGGCAATAACAGACAAATGTGCCAGAAATGTTACACCACACAACCATTTCCCAACTGTAATGAAACATACTTGCATTATCACACACAGCTCACCTAACTTTACCGTTTCCAAAACTTAAATGTAACTTTTGAAATACAAATAATTTGGTGATGATGAAATCACTAAACACAACACAATAGAGCATCGCTGGCATGCACTGAAGACGCCTACTTTGTACAGGATTATCATCATCATCCTATCCCTTAAGTACAGCATTTTAATTCCAAAGATTCAGTTTTGATACTGTTTGATCAGGCTTGGAATATTCTGACACATGAATACTGGATGATGTTCCACAGTCACTTATGCATTCTAATCCTATAACCAGGCCCACAAATGCTAGAACAGTGTGTTTCCATCAGCAATGATAAAATCCATCAAAGTTTACAATGCCATTAAGCTCAGTGCAGCCTTTAAATTCTAAACATAACATAATATTTTGAAATTACTAGTCCAGTAGATAAGTGTTCACAGGGCTGTTAACATAAGGCCTAGACATCCCCTGAGAAAAGTAGGTCATTCAAGATATGTTCTTGTAAGCAGACTCTCTGTATAAAAATGTTCTACATTTGGAACACATTACCATACATGGTTCAAACATAATTTCATTAATACAGACAGATGACAGTTTTTCAACTCATCATCATATGTATCTGGTAGCAGACTACTAACTCCAACACTAAACAGTGCATCTCATGCTATATTTCCTGCTTAATCTTCACTTATTTGCGCACAGCTAAGACAACATCTTTGTATATTTTAGATACAATAATAAGCATATGGTAGTGTTTTCTTCTTCACAATACATTCTAATGACAATCATATGATTCACACTAGGCACACATTTTTCAATGTATATCTTTTACATTTTACTAGTTACACACCGATTACAGAAACAAACAAGGATCTACAGTCAAAGTATATTAAAAGTCTTCATTTATCTGACCATATAGTACAGGACAGTGGTTTCCAACCTGCAGAATACATTTCTAAAGATTATAAATCCACACTTCTCATTCACAGGTTCTCAAGTGTGGCCACCATAAAATTTCAAGTCTGCACATACATGCTTACCATTTCATTTCCTCCTTCTAAATGGAGCCACAGTGAATTGTGCATGGCCAAATTACCAGCCATAAGAAAACATCTGTTGAGAACCACTGTTCTAGACTCAAGAAATGTTTCAATAAAAGTTTATCAATTAATTTTTGGGAGGGTCTCTCTTAATAACAGCCTACTCATATCAAAACATGTACACAAATCACAACATGCCCATCTTAAACTGGATTTTCACTATACATGGTCTTGAAAAAAGATACTGGAATTGTCCCACCAAGAGAAACTGCTTCTCTAGCATTACTTCCAATATTCAGAAAATCTGCAATTAAAAAAGTCAGAACGATTATGCTCAATAACCTAGGACTTTACTTTAATTTACACTGTAATTCCTCCTTGCATGTCATAAAACCCTTCCCCTCATCACTATCACTATCATGACCACTACTTGCAGTTTTGGTTTGGGAGTTCCATCTGAAATTTGTAAGGTTAATAGGGTGTCATAAGAAAAAGATATTTTGCAAAACTAGTAAATGCAATGAAAACTAAATGAAATAACACAGTAAATTCCCAATTATCCAGGCTAGTGATGAGGAAAATATGCATAATAATTTAAAAACATGGATAATCCAAAATATTTTGTTTGGTGCATTCGCAGAACTTCACAAATTACTGTTTTTTAAATACAAAATTGACGTTTATTTTGAGAAACAATTTGTAATATTCGCATGTATTTGTGGACAATTTACACTCCTCATGGCAGTGCAAATTTCACTCATATCCTTCCCACCTCTTTTTTCACTTTTGTTTAGTAACTTAGACCAATGTTCTTTACTCTATAGTCATTCTTCGACACCACCTTCATCCATGTTTCCAAAATTTCTCATAGCACACACCATGTAAAGAATTTTATACTTGCTGATATTTTAATTTGGAAAACCTGGACATCATTATCTTTTAGATCTGGAAAAAGTTTCCTCCGTAACTGAACCAGCATTACTGGATTCATGAAAGACCATGAACAAGATATGTAAAATACAGCATCCAGCATCTAATTTTTTCCACTATCCAGTTATGTCTTCATTCACAAGAATTCAAAAATGTTCAGCCCAACAGCATTATTCATGGAAAAAATAATTCAATCCCCAGTCCATAATCTTTGGCTAATTCCGTCACTAATTTTCTGTTCTAAAATTTTTCAATGAATTTGATCTTTCGTCTTACTGTCAGTAAAAATTCCTTACAATTTTCAGCCTTTTTACTTAAGATACCCAATTAACAATCACTTCCACCTGATACACAGTACGATGTAACAGACAATAATATAAAAAATGACTAAGCACCTGTAGTATCTTCTCTCTCCACCACCATTCCCACTGTAGCAATCTCAGTACCCCATTACCAATCCTGAAAATAAGCACCTTAAAAAAAAAGAATTCATCAGCCATGTTCTGCAGATAATCCCAAAATCTCCCCATCTGAAGCAAGTAGGGAAATATGTTGAAAAAGCCTAGTTCACAAGTCTGCATTTAAGTTAAAGAAAAGTGCACAAAGCTGTGCATGAATAATCAAGAGTTTGTTGTAATGGAAGTGGATTTTCGATTTGAGGAATATAGAAACAGTTTGATGAAAATAAGAATCACAACTGTCTCCTACAGAACATTTTCTGTTCCCTAATACGAATATGTGTTAAAGTACTTTTAAATACCAGTCTAAAAAATATAATAAACAAATGAAATACAAAACAAAGGTAGTAAATTTTATCAAACAAATACATTTTATAACTTGAGACATCATCTTAGAAGGTGCAAACACATCTTAAACATATTCAGATGAATTTTAAACTTAGGCCAATGTTATATAAAATCGAGAAATGGATAAATTTCACTTACTATTACTACATGTATGTCATAATTACCATACAAAACTCCACAATGCATCTCTAAATTTAAAAACATATCACAACTTATAACAACAGCAATACCATGCGCATCTTCCACACAATCAGTCGCACGTAGTTGGGCAACAGTAATGCACAATCATGTTAGTATATGTTCACAAGCTGACCTGACAAAGAAAATGTTATGACAATTTTTTAAGGTTATAAATTTCTTACCAGCACAAGCTGATAAATATATGCTGGAAACAAGAACATTTTTACTAAAAACATAGCCACAATTTGAGAAATGGAATAACTGTACACAGCTCCTTGTTAAAAATTATTACAGCATAGTTAATGCTAACCTCCATTCTAAGAAACAGTGGATAACAGGAGGAGAGGAGACATCAGTTGAATGTAATGCAACCACAAATGATGTGTATGACTGGTACTTAATCAAATTATTGCATGATATTATCTGGATTAATTTAGAGACAAAATAGAGTTTTTCAGAAAATGACAAGTGATTAGGAAATCTTTATATTGGACTATTAAGAGAATGTTCATTATAATTTCCATATTGGTACCAATTACAGAAACATAGAGCTGTAATAATAATTCCAAGCTATCACCTTGGAGAAATGATGACAAAGTGAAATTTATATTTCCAAGTCCACTGTTTAATTCATATGGATTATAAGCTATAAACTCTGCAAGAAATCTATTCCTGTCATTGATAGTGGGCTATCTCAACTATGGACAGGATTCTCATCTCATCACATCACATACTGGAATGGAACTCCTTTCATATTATTTATTCTCCATTTGTAAGATGGATAAACATATTTGCAGGAAACACCTTGCACACCACTGCAATGTGGACAACACACTGAACACGTTAAAGTCCTGATAATGTTACATATGAACACTACAATAGTCTTCCCTAAGAGACTCTAGAATGGCAGCACACAATTCCTGTCTCCTTCTCTATCCTTAACATTGCCCATACATAAATATCAAAGTATCAACACTGCCAATTAATTAAAGAAGTAAAAAAGTACTTAACAAAATTTTGTAAATATTGTCATGAAATGAGTATTTATAGCATGGTGCCAAAAAGGTTTCATTTCCATTGCAAGTACTGGAAATTCTAGAAACAGCATCAGTAAAACAGTGACAGTAGCAACTGTTAATGGACACATAAACTGCACTGCTTTCTGGCAAAATATCTGAAACTCTCACAATTTGGTATTTACAATAGGCCACAGAAGCTAGAAGATAAACCACTTTTTCTAGAAGAGGCAAGTTCTCTTCAGAACCACTATATTCAAACAGAAAGCACTTGTTCAAAACTATCACTCAAATGACATGAGATTTGCAGGCAGTGGCTTCTCCTTGATGCCACAGGCTGCTTGCTGCAGATGGCGGAACCACTGTTGCGCTGCAGCCTTGCTGCCAGCTCTGCATTTGTACACATTCCCTGCAATGACCATAAAAGTATTTCCACTTTTTAACAATTTTAAGCATTATGTGAGAAGTACAGTGAAGTCACAATTCAGCAATACACTAATAAATTCAGTACTTAGCTTAATTCTACCATCATACAAATAAAATTAGAAAACCATTACTATTACTTTATTTGGAAGTTTATAATGACTATGCAGAAGATACACTACTTGTCACCATGCCTGATGTTACACATAGGAAAATTTGCTGCACACCATCAGATATGGAAAAATCTCAGAAATCCAGGAGCCTCAAATACTTTATAATCATAAAAATCCAACGGATTTATAACTGACTATTGTTGTTCATCTTACAGATCATTTAGACCAAATCTATGAACCACATTTTATGGTCCATTTCTAACAATCTCATCGCAGTTTTTAAGGTCTATTGTCTGCATTCAACGCAGTCCAACATATTCTGATGAGGTTTACAGTATTCCTCCTTATGCAGCAGTCATTTTGGAATGGCATTAGTCCAAATTTTCTTCACTTGCTTTCCTGTGTTATCACAAATTTCTGAACAAATCATTTCTTATATTTAGGCTGAGAAATGTTGGCAACTTAACAGTCAGTACATCAGCAATTTTATTGTACTGTAATGTCCACACTAAGGAAATCTGCTGGAAGTGAACTTCATTATTTATTATCAGTTTCATGAGTTCTTCCAAACGGTAGAGTACTACTACTGTCAGCAAATACCTGACATTTATCTCTTGCATTTTTTGTATAGCTCCATTAACATCTTTGAAATTATAGCTACTTCTTACCTGGAAACCCTTTTCTATAATTTCTAAACATCTAATATTTTGATATTTTTCCATTTCTGCATAATGGCCCCAGACATCCACATGTTAAGCATTAACCCGTCGACGTGGTTTTACGTGTACACACGCGGGCATTTAAATTAAAGTTCTTGTGGTTTTACGTACAAACACGCGAGCCTCAAAGCCTAATTTAAAACGCCCATAAGTATGGAATAAATAACGCCAGCGCGATGAGGTTTGTTCTCGCCTGTTGTGGAAATAAAGCTCTATGTGTATACATGTGGCAACAGTGGTACATTCCATTGACCTGCAAGGGAGAGTCTAAAAATAAACGCCTGACCCGGTAGTTTACAATGGCTCTCCCTTCGACAAGTCGTCCTTTGACGGAGCTTGAAGAAATACAAGTTTTAAATGAAGTTTTAGAAGATGATAGTATAAGTGAATATAGTTCGGACGATGATAGTGTATTTGACATTGATTATACACAGTTTGTGACACCGGGAACTGTCGTGTTTAG